TTCCTGGATGGTAGAGAATATCCACAAATATAGAATTAAAGTCACCCCTGGATTCCCAGGATTCACTCACAATGGCAGCTTGCTACAGGGTGGTCAGAAAGTGTGCAAACACAATAGGGATTTGGGCTTTATCATCAAAGCTGTAGTGAGCCCCAGGGCTGAGCATACAGAGGGCAGCAGAAGCTGCAGAGCCCACTCTGGGGTACTTAGAGAAGGGGGAATGGGATGGGGTGATGTCTGCAGGACCCTAGAAAAGGGTGAGGAGAGCAGGGATTCTGCAGGTAGATGAGCATATTCTAAGGACTATTACCTTCCCATACTTGGTTGACTTCAGTGATCATAAAGGGAAGGGAATTGATTCACCAGACATGGATGAGACAAAGTAAATGGACTTGCTGATTCCTTGAGCAGAAACTGAGGAATAGAAAAAGTGTGAACAGAAGAAGGGAAGGTAGAGAAACAGAATGAGGGTCAGAACTCCAGGAACCACCAAAGTGGAGGACAGAAGCCCTTAAAGTGATGTTTCATCTCCATAAACAGCAGATGGAAGGAAAATCAACTCAACACATTCATATGCTGAGTTATTATTAGAAAAGTATTTAAAATTATGTGACTGACACAGTGCAGAAAACAGAAATCTGTTTGTGGAAATAGTTTAAAGTAAACATACACAATTTCTTCATTTTAAAATTTACTTAGATATTATTGCTAGTATTATTACGAAAATATAAAGAATTGAATTATAGTTCTAAGTTAAGATTTTGTAGAGGAGAGAAACATGCGTTCCAAGAAATAAATGGCAAGAGATCCTGGGAAGACTTTTGTTTCACCAGGTGAGAAATCACAGGGCCTAAAAAAAGAAACACACCATCCCCAAGCACTTGATAGGGAGCCGCCACCCAAGAGAACCCTTGAGTCCTGAGTGTCCCCTTGTGTCCTGAGCGCCCCCTGGTGGTTCTGAGCGTTCCCTGCTATCTTGAGCTAATCCTTGTGTCCTGAGGACTGCCTTATAGTCCTGAGCGCCCCCTGGCGGTTCTGAGAGCCTCCTGGTGCCCTGAGCGCCCCCTGGTGGTTCTGAGCGTTCCCTGCTATCTTGAGCTAACCCTGGTGTCCTGAGCACTGCCTTATAGTCCTGAGCGCCCCCTGGTGGTTCTGTGAGCCTCCTGTGTCCTGAGCGAGCTGTTGTCCTGAGCACCCCTGGTGGTTATGATCGGCCCTTGGTGTCCTGAGCGCCCAGTGATGGTTCTGAGAGTCCCCTGGTGTCCTGAGCGCCCCCTGGTGTCCTGAGCACCCACTGCTGGTTGTCAGTGCCCCCGGTGTAACTTGAGCAGAAGGACTGTGCTGAGTCCTCCATACCATCTTACCCAGCAGAATAGATTTTCCTTGCTTTCAGCTGCTGGCTCTTTTATTTTAAATATTAATTTATTTACTATTATTTTATTTTACATTCATTTTATCCTGTCATTTCCTGAATATTTAATTAAATATTAAATTAAGTACCTACTTTTTTTTTTTTTTTGAGACGGAGTCTCGCTCTGTCGCCTGGGCTGGAGTACAGTGGCCGGATCTCAGCTCACTGCAAGCTCCGCCTCCCGGGTTTACGCCACTCTCCTGCCTCAGCCTCCCAACTAGCTGGGGCTGCAGGCGCCCGCCACCACACCCGGCTAGTTTTTTTGTACTTTTTAGTAGAGACGGGGTTTCACCCGGTTAGCCAGGATGGTCTCGATCTCCTGACCTCGTGATCCGCCCGTCCCGGCCTCCCAAAGTGCTGGGATTACAGGCTTGAGCCACCGTGCCCGGCCAAGTACCTACAAATTTTAACAATTAATCATTTGTAGAAGTAACATAAAATGTGTATGAAGAAGATGCCAAGTAGAGATGCCAGAAAATAAAACAAATAAACAACTTGTGTAAGTTAAGAGCGGAGCATGAGGACAGAAACTCTGAGGTACATGTGCTGAATTATATATGAGGAAGGTCAATTATATTTAACGTCCAGAATGCGGGTCATTTCAGTGAAAATAAATGGTAGAGTGGTCAGCATAGATCAGAAATTAGAAAGGAATAAAGTCACAAACTTGCAAGACCAGGAGACATTCAGCATATTCACCCCTTTCCATTTTGCTAGGAAGAGAAAATCAATGGCTATACCTTCGTGGGAAATGAGACAAGCAGTTTTTAAGATGACCATCCAGGGAAGTTGCCAGTATAATCACTCAGATGATGCTCTGACACAGGATGGTGGAGGGATGTGGTCCTGTGATGGTTGCTGTCAGCGACATGGGATGCTCAACTCTAGTGGGTGCCTTTGCCACTATTTCGTCCATGAGAGACATTAAGCTATGATGTGCTACATGCTGGTGAGTTCCTTAACCTCAGATGAAGAGAGAAACATGATAACACAGAAGATGAATGTGATGGTTAATACTGAGTGTCAGCTTGATTGCACTGAAGGATGCAAAGAATTGTTCCTGGGTGTGTCTGTGAGGGTGTTGCCAAAGAAGATTAACATCTGAGTCAGTGGACTGGGGGAGGCAGACCCAGCCTCAACCTTGGTGGGCACCATTAATCAGTGCCAGCATGGCTAGAATAAAACAGGTAGAAGAAATTGGAAAGATTGGACTTTCTGAGTCTTCTGGCCTTCATCTTTCTCCCATGCTGGATGCTTCCTGCCCTCGAATATCATACTCCAAGTTCTTCAGCTTTTTCACTCTTGGACTGAAGTCAGTGGTTTGCCAGGGGCTCTCCAGCCTTTGGCCACAGACTGAAGGCTGCACTGTCATCTTCCTGACTTTTGAGGTTTTGGGACTCAGGCTGACTTCCTTGCTCCTCAGCTTGCAGGTGGCCTATTATGAGACTTCACCTTGTGATCTTGTGAGTCAATCCTCCTTAATAAACTCCACATCAAACATATACATCTATCCTGTTAGTTGTGTCTCTCAAGAGAATCCTGACTAATACAATGAGAAAAGTGAAGAGCTCATTACAGCAACCACATTTCTTTGATAAGAACTCAGCTCACCGAGAGCAGCAGATGTGCAGGAAATAGAGAGGATTTGGGGGATATTGTCCATAAAAGAAGAGATGCAACCTAACTGAACTCCCCATGAAAGGAGGGTGTAAATGTTTGTTCACAGCTAATGATGGCTTATGTCAAGACCTCCACAAGGCTTCAGAAATAGTTTGTATTAACAAATGTAATAATTTATATAGTTTTTTCCAGATCTTGTTTTACCTCCCGAGGCAGCAGCACAGAATGATGTTTTCAGAATCTCCCTAATCTTCTGTGAGCTCCTGAAGAAAATCCTGCATGTGGAAGTGAGCCCTCCTCATGTGCAGCCCCTGAGGCTGTCATGTCACCTCAAATTTCTGAGTTATGTCATCGACATTTCTGAGTTAAACTTCCTGAAACATATGGCATTTGATAGTGTCTTCCACATTTAAAAAAATACTTAAATTCTGTTTGTCCCTGCAGACATCTGTCCCTCTCTGGCATACAGTTTGGTTTTGAGTGTGTAGTAATTGATAATTTATAGAAGGTTTTTGTGCATCTTGTGATCTTCCCGAGTGCACCTGCTATGGGGTTGACACCAATGAGCAAGCAGATGGATGCTCTCACCCGGAGTGGGACAGGCATTTCTAGAGCCAGTGACCCCAGTGGGGCTCTCACCCTCCAAGACCAATAGGGCTGATGCCTCTGGCTAATGTGCAGGCCCAAGGGGTACCAGTGCCCACCCTTGAGAGGGTTTCTTCTATTTCCCTCCCACGTTGTAAAGGGAAGCTATTGCTTCTGCCTGGATCTCACGCATGAGTTTTCATTTTCTGTACAAAGGGCCTCATCCAGAAACACCCACAAAAGCACACAGTGAATCTAATGGAACTATAGAAAATCATACATGATGTGCCTCATGACCAAGGTCTCCACTTCTCACTAAGGATATTCCTTATGGGATTCACTAGAACTTGCTTTCTTTCTATAGACATGGATCTACCTCTAAACACTTAGGGACCTCACCCTCTGGGAAGGGACATAGTAAATTAGGAGCCACAGAATCTATAAGAAAATTTACATTGTATGAATCCTCTAAAAAACAGTCCTAATAGAAATAGCCCCACCTACTTTTCCTCTAACTGGCATCATTCCCAGGAGCCCAGTTGAGGAACCTGTGGAGCTTCAAGATTATTTAGGCTTGGTATACCAAGGGACCGCTGGAAGAGGAAAGAAGCAATGTGTCCATGGAAGTTCATCCATTGGAACTTATTGATGACTCAGGCAGGATGGAGACCGTGGGGAAGTCCATGCATGGTGAAGCAGGGGCACATAAGGACTCTGTGCACCTTCTGTTCAATTTTGCTGAGGTCTCAAAACTACTTTTTAATACATTTTATGTAAGAGAGGTGGCAGAGCCGGGCGCGGTGGCTCACGCCTGTAATCCCAGCACTTTGGGAGGCTGAGGCAGGCGGATCACGAGGTCAGGAGATCGAGACCATCCTGGCTAACACGGTGAAATCCCGTCTCTACTAAAAATACAAAAAAAAAGTCAGCCGAGTGTGGTTGCAGGCGCCTGTAGTCCCAGCTACTCGGGAGGCTGAGGCAAGAGAATGGCGTGAACCTGGGAGGCGGAGCTTGCAGTGAGCCAAGATCGCGCCACTGCACTCCAGCCTGGGCAACAGAGCGAGACTCCGTCTCAAAAAAAAAAAAAAAAAAAAAAAAAGGTGTACCTTTTGACCAGTTTTTAAGAATCATATTTAGTGTTAGCCATGTTATCAAGCAATCTTGCTCCAAATTATTTATCTATCTGATTTTGGAACTTATGTCTGCACAAAGCCCACGTGGGAAACTTTGCGTCAGCTTGACTGATTTCTGCTTTTACCTCAGTGTGAATTGTGCATATAGGGTGACAGTTATTAGAAATATTTCCTATATAGAGTGCACACATGTCTCTATTACTCATATTCCTCAATTGCTTAGCCTATTTTATAAACAACTTTAAACATTGTAAGCCCTGTAATCTCCTCATTCAGTGCAGCTGCCTCCTCCCTGGGGTTTCTGACGGTCTCAGGATGTGGGTTTTCACACTGTGTATCTTGCACAGTAATACACAGCCGTGTCCTCAGATCTCAGGCTGCTCAGCTCCATGTAGGCTGTGCTCATAGACCTGTCTCTGGTAATGGTGGCTCTGTCCTGGAACTTTTGTGCATAGTTGGTGTTACCATTGTAAGGTGTGATCCATCCCATCCACTCAAGCCCTTGTCCAGGGGTCTGTCGCAACCAGTGCAAGTAGCGGTAAGTGAAGGTGTATCCGGAAGCCTTGCAGGAAATCTTCACTGAGGCCCCAGGCTTCTTCACCTCAGCCTCAGACTGCACCAGCTGCATCTCGGAGTGGGCACCTGTGGAGGGGACACAGGAGTGGATAAAGCCCCCTTGACTGGACTCAATCCCCTTCTCATCACTGGGACCTGGGAGCCCCCCTTACCTGTGGCTACTGCCACCAAGAAGAGGATCCTCCAGGTCCAGTCCATGCTGAGGAGCTGAGCTCTCAGGGGATTCTCTAGAGGAGGGATGTGGTTGTTGGGTGATGCTCTCAGGGCACAGACATCCATATTTACCTCAGTGGATCTCAGGTTATTTGCATATTGATGAGAAAGAGCATTTCATAGCTCAAAGCCTGGCTGACGATAAGAAAGGGAAGATAAATGACATATCAACCTTACAAGAGTGAGATGCTGATGGTTCAAGCCCTAATCCTGCTTGAGGAAATGAATGCCCTGCTCCATGTATGAACATTTGTGGACAGAGGTCCTTTCACTGAAGAATCAGCCCTCTCAGAACAGGTTCCTCACTGCAAATATAGATTTTACAAGCATAGAGACCAGCTGTATGATTTCTGGAACAATCACTCTCCATGACACAGAGCAGGTGCCTTGGCCCTATCCTGGACCCTTCAGGAACCAGCACAGCTCACTGGTGACTCTGAGAAAATGATTGCTGATGTCCCACGTGAGTATCCAGCAGGTCCCTCTGAGACCCACTGGGCACTCTTTAGACAGTGTCTGCATCAACTGCCTGGTGTCTTGATCCCCCAGGCTCTTCAATAGAAACACTCTTGGACTCTTGGTCTACAGGTTATGAACTCATGATCCCAAAAAAACTTCCAAGGAATTTGTGTTATGGATAATTGTGGGTTTTATTTCCAATTCCATTCAGTGAACACTGCAACCATGAGGAGTTTGTGTTGACTTATATGAAGAAGTTCAGTTACATTTGACATCCAGAATGCTGGCCACACCAGTGAGAAAAGTCTGTAGAGTGGTCTGCACAGGTCAGAAATTAGAAAGTGATATATTCACAAGCTTGCAAAACTGGTAGACATTCAGCGTATTCAGCATTCAGCTCTTTCTATTTCTTCAGGAAAATAGAGGGGTTATATCTGTATGGAAAATGGGACAAGTAGTTTTCAGCTGATTCTCCTGGGGAGTTGCTGTTGAAAATCACTTAGGCGATGCTCTGACACAGGATTGTGAAGACGATGTTGATCCCCGGTGGTCGCTGTCAGCAACACGGGATGCTCAACCGTGGTGGGTGCCTTTGTTGCTGTTTTGCCCACAAGAGATTTTAGGCTGTCTTGTGCTGAATGCAGGTGAGTTTTTAAACCTCAGATGAGGAAAATTCATGACCACATAGAAGATGAGAAAATTGAACACTTCATCAAGCACATTCCACTGATGAGAACTGTTTGCACAGAGAGCCAGGGATGAGCTGGGAAGAAGAAGGGGGTGGGGACGATCATCCATAGAAGGACACATCCAGCCTGCTTGAACTCCCTGTGGAAGTAGGGTTTAAATGTTTGTCCTCAGCTAATCAGGGGTATTTCAAGATCTTCACAAGCTTTCAGAGAAAGAGTTTTCATGAACAAATACCCATATATTACTCAGAGTTCTATTTTTTTGTATGTATTCTTCTTCTCTAGGCAGCTCCACAGTAGGGTGTTCTCAGAATTCTCCCCGATCCTTCTTGAGTTCCTGGTGCAGCTCCTGGAGGAAAAGCCTGCATGGGGGAGGGAGCCCTCCTCACGTGCAGCCCTGAGGCTGTCCCATCACCTCACCCGCCACTGCCCTTCAGTCACCTGGTAAACATTTGTGAGCTAATCTTCCTGAAATGTGTGGTTTTGCACAGTATATTCACAAGGTAACAAAATACTTAAGCTCTGTCTATTTCCACAGGCACATATTCCTTTCTGGAGCACAGGTGGGTCTTGAGTGTGTGGTAGTGGACAGTTAGTGAGAGGAGGTTTATGTGCATCTTGTCATCTCCCAGCGTGTATCCACCATGAGGCTGACACCCACAAGCAAGCAGATGGACTTGCTCAGCTGGAGGATGACAAATATTTTCATAACCTGTGACCTCAGTGGTGCTCTTTCCCTGCAAGGCCAATCATGGTTATCCCTCTGGCTAATGTGCAGTCAGCAAAGGTGACCACTGCCCACCTCTGTGAGGGCTCCCTCCAGGGGCCACGCACTTTGTAAAGGGAAGCTTTTGTTCCTGCCTGGGTCCCATGCATGTGTTTGCATTTGCTGCACAATCCACCTTATTCGGAACCGCCACCCAAGAGCTTACGGTGTATCTCATCCAACTCTAGGGTATTATACATTGAGTCTCTTATTGTCAGGTTTTCCAACTCTCATTAAAGGATTTTCATTATGGAATTGACCAGAACTTGCTGGCCTTTTAGAGATATGAACCTGGCTGCAGTGTTGTGGAATCAGGAGGACCAGAGAGGTCCTATATACAGGAGGATATCTTTATTATTGAGTGCACTCAGACCCAGCAGACTCAACAAACAAAGACTGGGTGCAGAACAAAGACAGCACTTGACTTTTATACACGCTTCACAAAATGGGGTGGGCTAGCTTGAAGCAGGCTTAGAGTGGCACAAAAGCAGGGATACAGAGGCAGGACAAAGACAGTTAGTCACATTGTAACAGGTTCATAACTCAGGATTGCACATGACCATTGCTATGCAACCCAGATGTCTGTTATCTAGGTTTTGCTCCAAACAGCCTTGCACTGTTAACACATCTCATAACACTCACTATGGTGCCTAGACCACTGTAGTTCAGGTCTGCTCAGGCTTCTCATTACCTTCATTGCACTTCTTAGATAAAACAGAATACTTGAAGTTACTAGTTACAGAGAACAAGAATCTATAAACTCATACCGTAAAACAAAGGAAAAATTCTTTTTCTTCTCCCTGTGTTGAGGGAGTGCTGGAGGAGTCTCAGAAGCACATTAGATAATATTATTAAGACTTTTCCTGGGTCTGGGCTGTGCTTATTGCTGCCTCTGGGATAAGTCAGCCTAATACAGGAAAGCTTATTTCTCTTTAAAATTTTTTTTTTTCAATTTCCAGCCTCACTAAAAGCTTAAAAATATTATTCTCTGGGAAGGGGCATTGTAAACCAGAAGTAAGAAAAACTCCAAATTAATATATATTTTGTGGACTTTGGAAGAAAGTGCTCAAATGGTAATAGCCTCAACTCACTTTCCCTCTGACTAATATTTCTAGAAAGCCATTGAATATACCTAGGTGTTTGAAGATCATTTAGGTTTGTTATATTAGCGGATCATCAGAAAAATAAAGAACCAAGTGTCCGTGTAGATTCATCCATTGTAACTGATTTGTGCCTGTGGTGCAGGATGGTCATGGTGGAGGAGGCTGTGCCTGTGCAGGGCAGGGATTCATGGGAATTCTCACACCTTCTGTGCAATTTCTTTGCAATCCTAAAACTGCTCTAAAATAAAATTTATGGTAAGGAGTGACAGAAACATTTGAAAGACAATTTTGCCTCTTTTTAAGAATCATACTTACCCTTAACACATGATCAAATAACCTTGCTACAAATTATTTATGCATCTAATGTGAATTGTTCACAGTAGCTCCTTCATGGAATGCTTGTATCAACTTTATTGAGTGTGGCCTTTCCCACTCTGTCAATTTGGCTTATATGGTGGCTCTTGAATGGAATATCTCTCTTACAGTTAGACTGTGTTTCTATTGTTCTCAAATATATAACCCATTTTCTAAATAGTCTTAAACTGAACAACCCCTGACATTTCCTCAGCCCAGCACAGCTGAGTCCTCCCTCAGGGTTTCTGACACTCTGAGGATGTGGTTTTCACACTGTGTCTGCTGCACAGTAATACACGGCCATGTCCTCAGATCTCAGACTGCTCAGCTCCATGTAGACTGTGCTCGTGGACATGTCCGCGGTAATCGTGACTCTGCCCTGGAACTTCTGTGCGTAGCTTGTGCTACCATAACCAGGGTGGATTCCTCCCATCCACTCAAACCCTTGTCCAGGGGCCTGTCGCAGCCAGCTGATAACATAACTGGTGAAAATGTATCCAGAAGCTTTGCAGGAGACCTTCACTGAGGCCCCAGGCTTCTTCACCTCAGCCCCAGACTGCACCAGCTGCTCCTGGGAGTGGGCCCCTGCGGAGAGGACACAGTAGAGAATGACAGTCCCCTAAACTGGAAAAAAATCCCCTCCTCAGCCCTGGAACTAGTTGATCCTTTACCTGGAGCTACTGCCAGCAAGCAGAAGACCATCCAGGTCCAGTCCATGGTGAAGAGCTTTCCTCTCAGGGGCTTCTGTAGAGAAGGGATGTGGTTGCTGGGCGATGCTTTCAGGGCCCAGATGTATCCATATTTACCTCAGTAGATCTAAGGTTATTTGCATATTCATGAGACAGTTTATTTCATACCTCAAAGCCTGATCGAGGATGAGAAAGAGAAGATAGATGACCCATCTGCCACACAGGAGTGGGATGCTGATGGTCTAAGCCCTAATCCTGCTTGAGGAAATGCATGCCCTGCTCCACTGCTATTCATGGACAGGATCCTTTCACTGAAGAACAAGTCCCCACAGATTACGCTCCTCACTCTGATCCCATATTTTATTAGCGTCAAGACCATCTGATCATTTCTGGACTATAACTGTCCATGACACTGAGCACATGCCTTGGCCCCATCATGGTCCCCTCAGGCACAAGCACAGCTCACTGCTGACTCTGAGAAACTGACTGTGGATGTTCCATGTGACTCTCCAGCAGGTTCCCCTGAGATCCGCTGGGCGCTCCTGAGACAGTGTCTCCATCACCTGCCTGGTGTCTTGATTCCCCAGGATCTTCAGCAGAAACACTCTGGGTTTACAGAATTGCCCTGAGGTGCATAATTGGAGATGATTTTCTTATGTCATGGACACGAGGAGTCAGAAGTTGAAACAGGAGTTTGGAGTTCTTTATGAACTCATGCTCCCAAAATAACTTCCAAGGAATTTATGTTTTGGATAATTATGGATTTTATATTCATCTCTGTTTATTAGAATTTTGTGAAGTATTTACAGACTTTCAGTTCGTATCCAGAGATCCTGATCTTTCCATATTGATTTCTGAGTCCTTACATTTGTGTACCTGCCACACTCAGATCTACCACTGCCCTGTCACTCACACAATGTAGGCAACATTACTTAACACTGAAATCTGAATTTTTTGTTCATAGGAATATAGTGACTCCTGCAATTCTGTATCCATTGAATTAGTAAAATCATGCCTATTCTTCATATTCTCACTATTAAGATATTTCTAATCCTAGAAGCCCAATTTAAAAAATAGTTATCACTGCCTTAAGTTATATGAATTGTTCCATTGTAGCAGGATATTTGAACGTATATCAGCAACTTGTTGAACAGTTATTTTAGATTTTTTTTTTTTCTGATGAAGGAAAACCGAGGCCTTGAGAGGAAACCTCCTCCCCAGCCTCCTGTTCTGGGGCTGGACCCGGTGCTGCATGGCTCCTGAGTGCCCCTCCTGCCCAGCCCTTACATTGCAAGGAGGTTTCTGTCAGGGCTCACAAAACATTTTCCCCAGAGTCTTTAGTCCAGCATGAAGTGGCTGTGTCCTGGCTTAGAATACTCTTTCAGCGACAATATATGCCGCCAACACCATCTCTTGAAACAGTTGATTGGCCTAACTAAACCTATTGAATTCTGCAGAAAGACCCAAAGAAAAGATTCTAGGACACAGGAGGGAGCCAGTTCTCTGAAGCTCCAGATGCACTAAATCAGTGGAGACACAGTGAATACAAGAACTTGTAGGGGTTTGGGCAGGGTCGTGTTTCTTCATTAGGCTCTTGTAGTTCAGATGAAAGCCATCTCTGTATCTCCTATTCCAATAACAGACATTTTTCCTTCTTCCCTGTGTGTAGCCTGTAGAAAGTGCCTCCTGCACTGACACTAGGTCTAGGTTTATGCCATGTTTTTGTCCTAGAGAGCTAAGACAAACAGGATACAAGTGGAGACTTGGGAAGGGCATGCAGTTTGTTTTTTGTTTTTTTTTTTTTTCTTTTTCCTTAGCTAGGAACCCTGCAAATGGCCCATGGTAACAGAATCGGCAGTCAATACGGGAGTTGTCTTTACAGAGTTGACGTCAGAGGCTTCAGATCGCTCTTCTGTCCTTGTCCTACTCTCTGCCAATCTCTTTCAGTTCCCCTGTTCTCCTTCTCTGATAGAGCCTGTGCACTGCCACACCTTCATCTTTAATTTGTGCATCCCGGAAGTATCATATGAAGTTACAAATGAATCTTAATAATTTAGTGCTCTTCTTTCTCTGGAAGTTGTCCTATACACAGAGTCTCCAGAGGTCAAACTGATGCTTTCCCTTTTCTGGCTGGAACATTATAGGATTCTTACCCTATTGGCTAATTTAACCCATTTTCATGATAAAGGAAGCCTGCTGTGAGGGGTCTGTAATGGAGATGGACTGCCTTCCCTTACATAGATAAGGTGCTAGAAAGGTCCTTCCCCTGGATCTTCTATCTGGAGCAGTTTCTGTGTGTATTTCTCACAGTTTATGTCTCTTGATGACTTAGCCATGAAATAATCGCAATTCTCATACAAAAAACCTGGAGGTCACTGGAGCAAAAACCACAACAGTGTGGGGTGAGGGGTCTCCAGGATTTTGCACCCTCATACGGTCAGACATGCCCTCTTTGTTTATGTAGCTCAGATTTACATATAATAAACCCCACAGCCAGGTGTATCTGAATTGCCACATACCCATTTAAACTCACTGGAGCAGCAGCTGAGTGTAATCATCACACTGAACTCAGAGAAACCTGGGCCCAATACACTGTTTCTTGTAGCTCAGAGAAGCATCATTGATTCACTTGAGTGGACATTTCTTCCCTGAAACAGCCTCACTACCAACTATACTAAAGAGTTGCTATGGAGCCGCTGTGGAGTTGGATTTCTTCCCGTCGGCCTGGCATGCAGGGTGTTTGGAATGATGTAGACCTTTAAACTTAGATGCTAATAATTCCCACTGTTATTGAAATGGCTGGCAGCCCCCAATCCTGTTTCTCCCCTCCACTCACCTGAATATATCCAAGAACCCCACGAACCTCAGGACTCTCTTTTTCATGGATGACTCTGAGGATTGTCAATCTGCTCAGTGCCACAATCAGAGGCATCCAATGGAGGATTCTCAGTCCACTGATACGTTGAGCCCATAACATAGGACACTTATACAAGAGTGGCCACATCATGTCAGTGCCAATCAACATTTAATTCAAGGGGCACGATTTTCAGTGCATTGAAGTTTAAAAGTTTCATAATTCTTACGAGAGGCACAAACTGAATGGTTTGCAGAAGAAATAAGCTCATGGTTAGAAGAAAGCTGACTGCCCCCAAGAAGAGTCTAAGTAAAGCACCTGAAACATGATGTTCTGAAACCTTGTGAAAATTCATTTCCCGGAGTGAAAAACAGGAAAGTAATTCTCAAATCATTGGAAGAAACCTTTTCAGAAATTTTATCAATGCAGCAGTCAAATTCCAGTAAGTCAATCCTTGGGTTTCTGTTTCACAACTCAAGAAGGAATAAAGAAATCTACATAATTGGAAGGCTACTCCAACAGAGGGAATTTTGACCTATTTAGTTAATAGACCAGTATTCACTCAAAGACACTCTCCTATGGGATCTTCAACTTAAGCAGATCTCCCTAACCTGGAAAACTTTTCTCACTTATTTTTCTCTAGACATCCGTAAAAGCTAAAACACATCTTGTATATTTGTGCATGAGTGATCTATAGAAGTACTTTCCATATTAATGAAAGTTTATGGAAACATGAGAGCTTCATCACTTATTGTGAACTCACACTTCACTGGTTTCCAAAATTCTCCACCTATGTGATGAGGCAATGGGTGCCTCTGAGAATACACTGATTTTTGGACTGAACATGTTCTCCACTCCTCACTTGACTGCATGGTTCCTCGCTCATACAGATGTGTCTATGACTGAAAACCCAACACTGATATCCAGCAGATTTTCCTCTTATGAGATTCGTATTCTTTCTTTCTTTTTTCTTTCTTTCTCTTTCTTTTTCTTTCTTTCTTTCTTTCTTCTTTCTCTGCATGTCTCTATCTCTCTATTTTTCTCTGTCATTACTATTTATTAATGAATCATCCTGAATCCTGCCAAAAGACTCCATCTCACATTCTGCAAATATTCTGACTCAAAGATAATTAGGGGAAAACTCATCTTTGGCCAAGGTGGGAAAACTTTCTAGACTTCCTCTAGATTTATTAGAGCCTCATATGAAGAGCCATGATAAAACATTATCTGTTTTTGGATTATACCTCAAATCTAAAACTGCTCTTCATAGTGGTTATGACATTCTATATTCTCACAATTACCACAATGCAAAACGGTGTGGTGGCTTCTAAATAAATTAAAACAAAAATACCATATGACCAGTGATCCAGCTTATGGAAATATACCCAAAGGAGATGAAATTACCACCTTGTGAAGATACCTGCTCTCCTATGCTTATTGCAGTGCTATTCACAACAGCCAAGATATGAAAACTAAGTGTCCGTCGATGGACAAATGGATAAAGACAATGTGGTATTTGTACACAATGTAACATTATTATGCCTTATAAAATAAGGAAATGCTGCCATTTTCCACAAGACAGATGGATTCCCACCACCACTAGCAATGTATTTTATCCAATGCAGCCCCTCCCTGAGAACTAGCAGATCCAGGTCCAGTAGTAAGGACTGGTTGTGATGGAGTGGCCAGAAAGAGTGCAGGTGAGGCTGAGCATCAATGTGAGGTCTTCATGTCCAGGGCTGACTCCTGCAGCTGCTCCTGGGACAGGGCATGTGAGTACATGGAGAATCCATCCCTGTCAGTCACATGTACCTGCACTCACCACATAGACCCACGTCTGACATCTGAGACACTCACGCTGGGGAGCTGTCACTAGGCACAAGGGAAGATACAATAATGCCATCTTCTTCATGAACACAACTCTGCATTCCCCAGATACCTCAGCCCTGCTTGAGGGGACACCTGTTAGCTTCCACAGTCCAAAAGCATTTCATACCCTGGAGCCTAAAGAATACTTTGGATGTGGCAAAGCCTTGTACTTATAAGAGAGAGGGACAGAGGTCAGACTCCCCGTGGACTTGAATATGATTTATTGCTGTCTGTTTATTTTCAGATTGACATGAAACCCTTCCTTGCCAAAAACTACACCCATGACAGTTCAGAAAATTTGCTGT